CCAAACCGCTTTCTATGCTTTTCAGTACCTCGTTTAACGCAGGTTGTTTACAGGAATCGTCCACAATTAATTCAGATTTGCACGAGGAACTGAGGTCTAGGCAAAAGGTGAAGGCTACGGCCAAGCCTAGGATTAGGTTTGACTTTGTAGTTAAAGTTAGAGTTGGAACAAGGGTCAGGATTATGTTAAGGGTTGAAGTTTGGATCCGTGTTCACTGTAGGGTTTGGGTTTAGGATAGAGTAAGGGTTACGATTGAGGCAACAGTTTATTTTTATGTAGGAGTTAGTGTTCGAGTTAAGACAAGAAAATGTCTTAAGTGAATTGGGCGTTTTTATTTCCATGGCCTATTTAAACCACAAAATGTTACGAGCATTCTAAATATTCTCCTTAAAGATATTGGAAAAAAATATTATTCCTTAGCGGAAATGCATACTGCTTGTAAGTTGAATGCAACTACGACGGCAGATTGGGTTCAACGGAAAATTGGCTTACTTAAAAAAATTAAAATATATCCATTTTTGAATATATAATCTGAAGAAGACGTGATTTCTATGAAGCGAGTATAAAAATGATTTCCTTTATTGACATGTTCCATCAAACAAGGTTACAGTTAAAAAGGCATCGAAGATAGGCAGAAGGAATGCTTAATACTGCAGTATTACATTTTATCTATTGCGGTTTTTAATCAGTACTTTTTAAAATGCTATGAAGTATGCTCCAAGACAGTCAACTCTTACGATTCCGCTTAAGGAACCCTGGTCAAAGTAGGTTTTGCAATGCACGCACCGATAATATACTTCAATAAATACTATACACGTTTTATTAGGCGTAGTTCTGTTTCTAATTAATCACTGACTTTGTGTCGTGAAACGACTCCCTGGGTAAAGCTTAATGCTTAACTAGGCGCCTTTTAGTGGATACAATGGCCAGCGAATTTTCAGCCTTATTTATTAGCGGGTTTTTCATTGTCCGCATTCCAACCGTCGACTACACTCTGCAAAAACATGGTACGTGGTTGGGGAACAAAAGTTAAAACCTCCTCTCCACGGTCTGAAAAAAGAAATGTTTTTTTAATTGAACAATGTAAATAAAGGGCGGTCTGTGGGAGCCTGCCTCGGCAGTCCATTAATTCAAACTATTAACGGGGGTGTTGTGAACAGTGATGATCATCTACGAAGTGGTCGAGTTTTCTTGTAACCGATTCGAAAGCCCTTCCATTCCGGTTTCTTCTCTGACAAACGCTGCAGGGGCGCTTGTCTTGACTCACAACCAACCGACGTCAGAGGAATCCATTTCAGCCTTGGGTTTGACTTCTGTCGTAATTCGGCAGCCGCAGGGAAGTTGAAATTTGCATTAGAGTCAGTTTCGCCCCCACCCCCGTCTTCAGCTTCCATCTCCTCCACTTCTTCAGGAACCGGTGTATTCGTTGGCGTGGATGGAGTCATGGCTGATGATGTACGCTTGGCCACTGTGCCGAACGTACTCCTGCGTATTGCTGTTGGCGCGGATGGAGTCAAGGCTGATGATGTGCGCTTGACCCCCGTGCCGACAGAACTCTTGCGGACCGAGGATGCCCTACTCTGTCCGGCATTCGTTGCAGTCGTGACACTCACTCGTGGAAGTCCTTCGAGGGCG